TTATAGCCAACTAGCTCAGCTTTCTATTGTTCTGCAATGCATTTCCTCTTTTCTAGAAGATCACTGGTCTTCGAAGGGTCCAGTATTGCAGCGTGCCTTTCGCAACTTTCTGGTAAACGCGCAAGATATACCTGGAAATATAGTATATAGGCACCGCTGACAAGATGACCACACTGAAAATAAAGCTATTGCAGAAGTGAACCTGGTCATCCAGTTAAACAATATAACCTAACGCTTTCGATTCCCCCCCACCCCACCCCACGACGAATTGTGCGGACTTTCACTCACTTGTGCGGCCGTATAACGAAGGCTTTTCAGTCCGACCGAGAGGAAATCAATTTGCACGCGCGCTAGCCGACAGGGGAAAACAACAACACACACAAGAAACCTCATGTTAATTGAAGTCGCGACACACAACTTACTATTATTATTATGACTTTGCTCGATGCTACTTGCGGAGTGTATACATCAATTGCTTGTATCGCTATATTTACTTTCATTCATTCATGTTTACCCACTGGTCTCTTCCTCCTAACAAACACTGGTCTCTTCCTCCTAATTACTAACATGCCCAAGCATTTCAAGAAAAAAATGAACTTGGAAACCAATGACTAAAATTAAAAAAGAAGACGCAGCCTGAATTGCACCACTAGGTCACCATCCTTCGACAGGCTTTGCACACACAGTACATAATGCACAATGCTATCTTTGCAATGCAGTTCCACACTTTGTGTGCTGACAAGATTCAGCAGTATTTTGCAAGCTTCATCATTTATCCTGACTTGTCAGCTGAAGAGGGAGTAACACAATATAGCACCCTTCAAACTTGCACAAAATAGGGCAAGTTCATTCATAAAGGCACAATGAACAAAAATTCCTAGCCATGCTTACATTACCAAGGTAAATCATCAAGCTATATCCGTGTCACTACAATAAACTTAAGCAAGAAGACATTTTCTAAAAAAGATTTCCACGCACATACACACGACCACAGAGCAATCTCTTTTTAAGAGAGGTCTTTTCTGGCAATGGCGTATGACGAATTCTTTCACGGTGGTGGTAAAAGAGTAGCCTCGAAACCAGCGGGCACCAGTAATTTCCAACACTGCAGCTCCCGTGCAGACACGATCCAAATTTGTCCTTGACACAAATCCAGAGCGCTCACAGAAACAAACGACATTGTAATTAGCTATCACTTCGTGCAATCTCAAGGTCAGAATAAAGTATCAGGTTGGCTGTTTTGTTATGGGCAAGATAAGCTGTTTCTTTAACGACACCTACTAAGCCTATGGAATCATGGCGTCAACAAAACATATATAAACATCCTGGAAGAAATCTACAGTGGATCAGCAGCCATCATAGTGCTCCATAAAGATTGATTGATTGATTGATATGTGGGGTTTAACGTCCCAAAACCACTATATGATTATGAGAGACGCCGTAGTGGAGGACTCCGGAAATTTAGACCACCTGGGGTTCTTTAACGTGCACCCAAATCTGAGCAAACGGGCCTACAACATTTCCGCCTCCATCGGAAATGCAGCCGCCGCAGCCGGGATTCGAACCCGCGCCCTGCGGGTCAGCAGCCGAGTACCTTAGCCACTAGACCACCGCGGTGGGGTTCCATAAAGAAAGTGAAAGAGTACCAATAACAAAGGGTGTAAGATTAGAGAATTCGATCTCCCCAATGCTATTTACCGCATGCTTACAGGAGGTTTTGAGAGGCCTAGAATGGGAAGAGTTAAGGATACGAGTTAATGAAGAGTACCTTAGTGCCCTGCGCTTCGCCGATGACATTGCATTGCCGAGTAGCTCAAGGGACGAATTGCGATTGATGATTACTGAATTAGATAAGGAGAGCAGAAAGGTAGCTAGGGGCTTAAGATTGATCTGCAGAAAAGGAAGTAATGTACAACAAACTCTGAAGAGAACACTGCTTCGAAATATGTAGCAGTGCACCTGAAGTTGTAAAAGAGTACTTCTACTTAAGACAGGTAGTAACCCCGGAGCCGAACCACGAGATTGAAGTAACTAGAAGGATAAGAATGGGGTGGAGCATATTCGGCAAGCATTCACAAATCATCAATTGTAGTTTGCCACTAACCCTCATGAGAAAGGTATATAACATCTGCATCTTGCCGGTACTTACCTACAGAGCAGAAACCTGGAGGCTTGATTAAATAGTCAACGTCGCGCCGAATGAACAACCACACAGAGAAAGAAACACACATAGCCACCACGGGCGCTTCTTTGTGTTTCTTTCTCCATGCGGCCATTCATTCAGCATGACGTTGACTATTTAATCAAGACATGCACCAACTAGCCCAACAGCAAGTTCTCCAGGAGGCTTACAAAAAGGGTTCAGCTTAAATTGAGGACAACGCAGCGAGCGATGGAAAGAAAGATGGTAGGACCTTAAAGGACCCCTGACAACGAATTTTAGAAACTTGAGATGCTTGCGTTGTTTTATAGTCCTGAATGCGGGTCCACCTGTGACTGATTATTAATGGCGAGCATTGCCTAGAAGATATTTTAATTTGTTTTAAAAGTAAGGTTGTGTGCTCCTCCAAGTATCCAGGTACAATCGGCATTTTATGTGGTTTTACGAAAACCGGGGATCCCCTTATGGCGTTGCAGAGGTCAAGAACATTTGCGCAGCGCACAGACTCGCAACCGGCGAGGCATATTGTTCATCACCCCTCTCGATATGTTGTAGGGCTGCCCTCGAGGTGATTTGGGCTGCTTATGCCAAGAATGTTTTTCTGTTTTCTGAGGAAGACACTCTTAAAGCCCCCACATTGTTTCATTCTTCACCGCCCGTGGCTGCCCCTATATGAACACAGCGGGTTTTAGTGTTACCGAAGCTTGAGCACACGTGTAGCCTCAGACGCTGCTCCACTGTGGGGCGCTAGTTCCTCATGGTATCATCAGGGGTATGAGCCGGCAGCTCGGACACAGCGTAATGGAGGTGAACCAAGACGTGTACGAGCCTGGCGCTCGCCCCTTTGCACAGGGTGGCATTCACAACAGTGGTGCGACGGGCAGGAGGGCCGGTAATAGAATGGGTCGTCAAGCCACAGCTTTTTTAGGGAGAACCAGAGCCCTGAAGCCAACAGTGTAGCCAAAGACAATTCTAAAGGGGCACCAATATTCAAGCCACATGGGATCCGTGGGAGAAGAAATCGACGTAAGCACGAGGGCCGAGCTAAATCAGACATAGGCTATATTAAGATGCAGGGTGACGAAAATAGGTTAAAGTGGGAAGAGATAGAAAAGTAGTTAAGGCAGGAGGAGCTGATGGTATATGGGGTTGTGAATATGCATCTTTGGAACATGGAGCAACCACCTTGAAATCCCGACTATGTATGGGAATATTGCAATAGAACAGAAGACAGCAATAAGGGGGGTGGAATCGGGGCATTTACACATAGAAGTATAGCTTAGCAAAGAGTCAAGCGGAAATGCACAGAACATTTATTGTTAAAAGGAAAAATAGCAAGGCAGATGACACTCCTTGTTTTGGTGTACTTGTGAACGGGAGCAAAGGCCAGAGTGGAAATCGTGGAAAGTATAACAAATGACATTGAGGAATTAGGAGAAAAGTACGAGATAGTTATACTAGGAGATATGAATGCACACATAAAAGATATAGATGGGTATATTGACCTAACTAGCAAAATGATCATGCATATGTGTGAAAGGCATGATTTGATCATTAGAAACAGTACTGAAAAGTGTTAAGTGCAAATAACATCGGAAGTAGGAAGGTTGCAGTCAACAATATATTATGCACTGTCACACACGATGTATGATAGGCTCAGGGGAATGCACAGAGACCAATGTGGCTCCAGAAGTCTGGGTAGTGATCGCAAAGGTATCATGCCAAGTTTTGGAAGAGCAATGAAAGTAGAAAGGAGACAAAATGAGCAACTACAGGGGAATGTTTATTTAGAAAGGCAAACAGAAATTGCTACTAAACAAATTGAGAAAGTAATCACTGAAAACAGTAGATCAGTGTGGACATACACGATTCTAATTTGACTGTTGGAGCTAGAGCTTGCTAAGGAACGTGACAAGTCACCCCAGAAAAGAAGACACAAGCCCAAGAGTTGGTGGGATGAGGAAGTCAAGAGAGCCATAGCAAAAAGTCAGGAAGCCTCTAGGGAACACAGACATGCTAAGCAGCGGGGTAAACCGACAGATGATGTTGAAAGAAAATGAGACATCTTTCTAAGTGATAGAAGGGAAGCATCCCTCCTGATCAATGAAAAGATTAGAAGAAAAGGTGCTCAGTGGCTGGCACAAGTACATAAAAAGAATAGAAAGGCAGCTGCGAAATCTCAGAACCATCTGAACTCCCTAGAAAATGAGACAAGCCTAGAGCAGAGTTTTATAACTACAGCTCAAGGTGTTAGGCTAGATGGGGACGAAGCTATTGAATATATAAGAACAAGAATGGTAGAAAAATTTCAACCAGGAAGTGCCTTATGCACCCTTAATAGACAAAAATGCATCAAGTGGTGCAGTGGCTCTATTTTCACGAGAGTGGGAAAGGGCTGAGAAGGGGGTTCTTAGCAGTAGTACACCAACAGGCCCAGATAGCATTCCAATTATGCTGATAAAGGAATAGAGTCCCAAGTTTAAGCAAATTGCAGAAAGGAAACACAGTCCCCTGTGGCTAGCTTTTTTGGATATCAAGGGAGCATACGATAGCGTGGTTCAAGAGGAATTGTGGGGAGAACTGAACACAATAGGTGTGGAGGTTGGAGTCGCTAAGCACTTAAAGGATATCTATAGAAGTAGGTAGGCAGATGAGATTAAACATTTTGCTGGTATAAAATGGCAGCAGCAAGCACAGGAGCGAGTTGACTGGCAGAACATAGAAGAGGCCTTTGTCCTGCAGTGGACGTAGTCACTGCATCCCTCACTCTGTGGCTCTGTAGCCCTCACTAGATTGCCAAGAAAAGTTGTCTTCGAGCATGGAAGGGCGGAAGAGGGTACGTGTTAGGTGCCAAATTTTATTGCACAGCTCGTCGGCGAAAACTCCTAAATGTTTATTTACAACGACGAGATCACGCAGCACATGGCACAAATACAGTTGATCCAGGAAACAAATCTAAATTGGCGAAAATGCACCTGAGGGCGCGGTTTCAAATGTTATGTCAACACTATCCAAGCGCAACGCTCCGCCACTGGTAAGCAGCTTTGCTTCTTCACAAAAACTTGCTCAGCATCGCATGAACTTCGGCAGCTGATGTTCTTTTGTCAGGGTCTTGCACAGAACAATTGCGAACCACCTCTCTGAGCTGAAACAGAAGACAAAGTAGGAGTTATAGAAACAAGACTTTGATCTTCACTACATGTAAAATACCCAAATCAACAAGGCCAAGATTCGAAGAACAAAAAATCAAGCTGACACATAAGACACAACTTGAGCAGCGATGAGAGACCACCAGACTGTGACTTTCAAACCTATATAATACATAAGATAAATTTGCCAGTTTTTTGAGTGATGATCTGGTACCATGTACTAGGTCATACAAGTTTTCCTCACACGCTCCAGGAAAATGTCGTAACTCTTAGTTATTTTCATTTGTGACGAGGTTTATTAGTCGATAACGACAACGGCAAGACAGCGTGAAGAACCGTCCAGCAGAGATCAGCACAGCAGCGAGCCGAAGCACGAGCCGAGAGAGCCGGGCGTTGGCGATGCTGCTCGCCGCAGGCACATCTTCACAGTCGCCCCCGCTGAAAAAGGAGCCACCCTGGCGACTTAAGAAGTGTCAGGCAGAGGCTCATGGTATGGTTTCAGTCGGGAAACATGGACGATGTCACGTTCGCGCCGGCGCATGTCGTCCGATCTGGAAACTGGCTCAATTAGAAAATTAACCGGAGAGGTTTTCTCCAAAACGGTGTAAGGCCCCTCGTACCGGGGGACAAGTTTCGAGGAGAGTCCCGGTGTTTGGTGTGGAATGGCGAGCCACACAAGAGACCCTGGGGCATAGCTGGGATCTGAAAGGGCGGTGCTACGGTGTTCTTTCTGGCGTTGCTGCTCTTTTGAGGTGAACGCACGGGCGAGCTGGCGGCACTCTTCGGCTTGTCGAGAAGCATCAGAGACAGGTGGGCACTCGGAAGCATCAGGACGGTAGGGTAGTAGGGTGTCGATTGTATGGGGAGGCTCGCGTCCATAAAGAAGAAAGAAAGGTGAGAATCCCGTGGTGGTTTGAACTGCCGTGTTATATGCGAATGTGACGTACGGGAGAACACGGTCCCAGTTGCTATGATCAGATGCCACGTACATTGAGAGCATATCACCCAGCGTGCGGTTAAACCGTTCCGTTAGCCCGTTAGTCTGCGGGTGGTATGCTGTCGTTTTCCGATGAATGACGTGGCATTCCGAAAGCAGAGTTTCGACGACCTCGGAGAGGAAAGCGCGGCCTCTGTCACTAAGGAGCTCTCGAAGTGGACCATGTCGAAGGATAAAGCGACGTAAAATGAAAGAGGCGACATCCTGAGCTGTAGCGCTCGGCAAAGCGGCTGTTTCAGCGTAGCGTGTCAGGTGGTCAACTGCCACTATAATCCACCGATTACCATTTGATGTCAATGGAAAGGGGCCGTAGAGGCCAATGCCGACGCGATCAAATGGCTTGGCAGGGCATGGAAGTGGCTGCAATGCGCCAGTCGCTCGTGGCGCTGTTGATTTGCGTCGCTGGCAGTCAGGACAGCACTGCACGAATTTGCGTACAAAATTGTACATGCCGCGCCAGTAATAGCGGTGGCGAAGGCGTTCATATGTTTTGAATACCCCGGCGTGGCCACATTGCGGATCGTCGGGAAGAGAGGCACATACTTGTGATCGTAAAGTGCGTGGAATGACCAGTAGCCACCGGTGGCCATCGGAAGCGTAGTTGCATCAATGAAGGAGTTGATCGCGGATGGCGAAATGGAAAGCTTGACGTCGGAGGGATCGAGATACTGGAAGGTTGGGCGTGCCAGATAGATATTTGATAAGAGATGCGATCCACGGGTCACGACGTTGTTCGGTGGCAATCGAATCGAGATTTAGCGATGACAAGGTCTCGAGGCGAGTGTTTCCGCACATCGGATCTGGTGATAAAGGTGAGCGGGACAGGGCATCAGCGTCAGAGTGTTTGCGTCTGCAGCGGTATACGACGCGAATGTCGTACTCCTGGATACGGAGTGCCCATCGCGCAAGGCGGCCAGAAGGGTCTTTCAAAGTGGAGAGCCACCAAAGCGCATGTAGATCAGTTACTAGATCGAACGGGCGGCCGTATAAGTATGGCCGGAATTTTCCAAGCACCCACACCAGAGCCAAACACTCTTTTTCTGTATCGCTGTAATTAGTTTCGGCTTTTGTCAGAGTGCAGCTAGCGTAAGCTACAACGTAATCTGAATAGCCGGGCTTTCGTTGAGCGAGGACAGCGCCTAGCCCGACGCCGCTGGCGTCGCTGTGCACTTCGGTAGGAGCCATCGGGTCGAAGTGGCGAAGAATAGGTGGGGAGGTGAGCAGACGGCGTAGAGTAGTGAAGGCAACGTCACATGCAGAAGACCAGGAGGAGAGGTTCACATCACCGCGAAGAAGCTGGGTTAATGGTGACATGATAGACGCAAGATTGCGAACAAAGCGCCGGAAATACGAGCATAGGCCTACAAAACTGCGAAGTTCTTTCATGGTCGTCGGCTTGAGAAATTCTGCGACTGCTTCAAGTTTTGCCGGGTCAGGTAATACGCCGTGTTTGGACACGATGTGGCCTAGTATGACGAGCTCGCGTGCAGCGAAGCGGCATTTTTTCAGGTTAAGCTGCAGGCCAGCGTTGCTCAGGCAAGTCAAAACTTGCCTGAGGCGAAGGAGGTGCGTAGGAAAATCATGGGAGAAAACCACGACATCCTCGAGGTAACAGAGGCACATATTCCACTTGAGGCCACGTAGCGTATTATCCATAAGACGTTCAAGCGTGGCAGGCGCGTTACAAAGCCCAAAGGGCATGACGTTAAACTCGTATAGTCCGTCTGGTGTAATAAATGCCGTTTTTGGCGATCGGCTTCAGCCATTGGGACTTGCCACTAGCCAGACCGCAAATATAGCGACGACAAAAATTCCGCTCCGAGAAGGGTGTCGATGGCGTCATCAATGCGCGGCAAAGGATAGATGTCCTTGCGGGTTATCTTGTTCAAACGACGATAGTCCACGCAAAATCGGATAGATCCGTCTTTCTTACGCACGAGGACGACAGGAGACGCCCAGGGACTGTGAGATGGTCGAATGACGTCTCTACGAAGCATATCTTCGACTTGATCGTTGATGACGCGGCGCTCTTAAGCGGAGACATGGTATCATCTTTGACGCAGTGGCTGGTGTAGGCCGGTGTCAACATGATGTTCGACTTGTGACGTGCGGTCCAGTTGAGGCTGCGACACATTGAAACAACTCCTGAACTCTTGCAGAAGATCCAGCAGGTCGGCATGTTCGGTGGGAGGGAGAGTGTCGGCAATGGCGCTACAAAACGTATCCTTGTACGACTCCTCGAGTGCCGACAGTGATTTTGGGTGGTCGCAGTAGTCATCCAGGACATCAACCAAAGCCGAAGGGTCGAGATCCTGCACGCGGCCAAGACATTCCCCCGCAAGCAAAATGACAGGTGTGGAAAGCGGATTGCTTACGAACATATTGCTTCTTCCGGCGGCAAGGCCAATTGTTGCGAAAGGCAGCGGCAGAGCTCGACGACTCTTGAAGATATCGGAAGGCATAAAAAGGCATGTAGCGTCAGTGTAGGCGTTGCATGAAATGGGAACAAGGGCAAAATTTCCAGGTGGAATATCGGTATCTTCATGAACGAGCAACTTCGCCGGCTGCTGAAGAGCGTCAAGTAATGGGACATCACACAAGGGTGAAAACTCAACTTCGGCGCGAGCGCAGTCGATGACGGCACTATGGCGGGATAGGAAGTCCCACCCGAGGATGACGTCATGCGAACAGACAGCGAGAACAATAAATTCCACGATGTAAAGACTGCCTTCGATGGACACTCTTGCAGTGCAGGCTGCGAGAGGCGTTACTTGCTGTGCGCTTGCGGTGTGGAGCGACAGTCCCAAAAGTGGCGTCGTGACTTTGCGCAATAAACGGCAGAGATTAGCGGCAATAACGGAAACAGCTGCGCCGGTGTCCACAAGGGCGAAAGTACAATAACCTTCAACAGTTACTGCGACCACGTTAGCAGGAGGGGGCGAGGGCTTAGACAGTTCAAAAACGGCGCACTTCTTGCCTCTTGAACTGCGGTGCTTAGTTTTCCTGTTCGGAAGGTCCGGGCCGGCGACGCATGGGGGAGGGCGATCGCCGACGAGGAGACGGTGCGCGCTGCGGCTGGAAGTAGTGGGAATTGAGGCTAGCCCGCTACCTTTGCGCGGGCTTTGCCGCCTTTTCTGCCGTTCTCATGTCCCGACATGTCTGCCCTCCTTTGCTGTCTGCCGCGCTGAGAGAGCGGAGTGACGTTTAACTCCCTCACCCGGTAGCGGATGTTGACTGTGGCGCCGCGTGTGGAGCCTCCCGAGACGTTTTCGCGCACTGCGTCGGGAGCGGGCACACAGATACGCTCCGGGACTGCAAGCGGTGAGCCACGCAATCTTTTCCGTCCGTCGACTCCCGTCGCTCGGGGGCTCGTCGGACTTCGCTGACGGCGCCTCGCGCCCGATGCGAACGCTCACCTTTTGTTGCCCCGCTGCGTACGCACGGCCGAAGGGCGGTACGGTGTCCTAGTGCGTGGCCTTGTTACGCCGACCCGTCTCTGATCACTCCGTGGATCACCTTTACCGCGGAGACGTGCTCGTGGCACCCTGTGTAGTACTTTTGTGCCCGTGGCGTGGATAAGCCTATTTGCTTTCCCGTCGCGCCATTGCAACGGGCTGTACTGCGTTTGGTGTTGCCACAATAAAGTGTTGCGACTTTGAGCAGTATCGTGTTCTCGCCACGGCAACCGTTTACGCGTGCCCTGCGGCTCGCTAAGACCGGACCCACGCTGGTGGCCGTACTCCTTCAGGATACCTGTACACCACACTGGCGCCCAACGCGGTATCAAAAGCTCTAGCTTTTGACTGCTCTTAGAGAGTCAGTTCGCCTGCGCGATTCGGGTTCGTCGCAACATCCCTGCTTCGCGGGATTTTTGTCCGCTGTCCCTGTTGGCGGATGCCGCGTTGTATAAGGAGGCCATTTCCTCTATTGACGGGAACCCTTCGGCACCCGTCCGTGTCGGCACCCCCTATTGCGGTGACGACACGAGGCGCCTAGCCG